ATTTTTGGGTCACTTGTTGCAAAGCTTTTCTTTGACTGTTTTTGTTTTGTGGAGAGGCTGTCTTGTTCAAGACAGTAGCTTCCCCTAGTGTTAAAACTAAGAATTACAATACAGTCAAGCACGAATTTCATGTGTGGGCCATATTTGCCATTATATTTTTAGAATTTGCTACGGGCCAATTAAAAATGGGCTGTGGGCCGTAGTTTGGACACCCCTGATGTAAAGCCTTGTCAGGGTGCATGCCTGTGACACCAGAGGGTAAGGTCTAAACCCACACTAGGAACCATTGTTATGTTAAGGAAATCAAATCCCTTTGAAGTTAAGGAAAAAAATATTTACACATGTCGAATGTATGTTGATGTACCGGTAAGTAATAGTGAACATTATCTGCATTAAATCATATATACAGTGTTCATTCATCAGGGCTGCTGGTGTGGAGATGAAATCAGTGGAGAAAACAATACATTGAACAGCATCACATTATCCAGGATTTAAACTCATGACTCGGAGTTCAGTAAAATTCAGAACCAGACTGAGTGTATTGATTTGTGTTCCCCCGTGGAGGCTCTGAGCTCTGTGGTGGGACAGTTTCGACTATTTGGCATTCTGAGGACTGAGGACCTGAACTTTAGGATCCATCAATAGAAGAGCAAGAAATGGAGAGCAAATGAGTAAACAGAGACTGAGGGGAAGAGAGGATTGGATAGAAAGAGAATAAAGGAGTAGATAGAGGGAATGGAAAAGAATCACAGTTGGAGAGAGAGAGAGTTGGATTTTGCTGGGTTGTCGCAGAACTGAGAAGTCTGAGAGCAGAGAAATAACAGCAGCTTTCACTAAAGATTTATAAGCTGAATCTGAGTTTTCACCATCATTCTTTTCATACAACTCAGAATGCAGGTGTTCAAAGGCATATAGAATCGATGCAGGTTAATTCATCAGAATGTGCATGCTATTACTTTTCGCTGTGATGTATGGTTGTGCCATCATTCGAAAAACCTCAATCTGACAGCTAGGAAAAAAACCCAAATCCAACTCTCTAATTCATTCACTTTTAATAGGGCTTTACTTTAATAAAAGTAGGACTTATCAATAGTCTTACATAAACACCTCAGAGAACTGAAAGGGAAGTCAGAGGTCAACAATGCAGTCCGGTCACAGACAATAATATTAATTTCCCTATTTACAAAACCAAATATTGTGATAAAATGTTATTTTGCAGAGCTGCCACAACATCTTCAGATAATTTAATCTGCATGAGAACAAATTTGAAATGACTGATTCAATAATTTCAGTTGACATAATAGTTTTACAGTTCCAGCTTGTAAATGAGGCTCTGGGACAAAACATGTATTTTAGCATCAGTTCTTTGCAGCTCAATTAGAACCCACTCACATAATACTGTGCTTCAGGTATTGGGACCATGCCAGTTATTCTGGTCCTGGTTGACCCTGAAAAAATATTTAACCAAAACCTGTCTCAGTGTCATGGTGTTGTTGAAGATGCAAAGTCAGAGGTCAACAGAGGGTGAAGACTTAACCCTCTGGGGAACTTAACCAATTTTCATGGCAATCCATTCAACAGTACAGTTGCTGATACAGTATATTTGAGTGTGGACCAAAGTGATTCATTCATTCATTCACTGATGTGCAAACATTTTATTTTATTTTTTAATTACGCCTCAGTTTCTGTACTGTTTAACACTCTCACTCTCTCAGAGAGTGTACACAGCGAGGATTGGGGTGTGATTTTCCACCTTTATTTTTCATTTGATCCTGGCAAAGAAAAACAGGCATGTCAAATTGATTGACATGTAATTAGTCGTCAATAACGTGTCAGCTGTTTAGACATCAGGTCCATAGATTCATGTAGGGAAATGACATTCCAAAGACTGGATAATTATCCTAGCAGCCCTGAAATAAGTGCCAAGTTTCATGATAATATTGCTATAGCACATGTAGTAAACTTGGTCTCACGTATTGCTGCTGTAGAAATGTCTCTTGAGGCAATGCTCTGCGTTTCTTTTTAGATCACTTGTTACGCCGCTACACAAACCCATTGCTAAATGCTATCCTTGCGCCTGACGCTAAGGCCAGTGAGCCTGTAAATTAATGCCTCTCCTTACGTGTTGCGTAAACGTGAAGGTGTATCCAGCCTTACCTGATTGTGTGTGCAACTGTCCTGTCTGCGTGTAGGTGACTCACCGCCAGGATCCTCGTACGGCCCGCGGCCAGCACACTCAGACAACTCGATCCACGGAGTCACTTGGGTACGATCTCCTCTGCCAGCCCTCTCTTTCATATTAGTTTAGTTCATGTACAAGAAGAACCCGTGATGTGTTGACACCAAAACAAACGTTACTTCAGATTCAGTCTCTCAGGTGTCTTGCGTCCTCACGTCTCCCTCGTGGCGTCTCTTCCACTCAAAACCAATCTCCGCCGGCTCCTCCTCATTTGCTGCTAATGAAGGTTACAGAGAGAGCCACCACACCCCCCTCAGTGTATCGTCAGTACTGACCCTGCTTCTCCTCCTACCAACCACACCTACCGCTAAAGGCACTGAAGTGAATCCTCCTAAAGCATTATCATCACATTACTGAACACTTGGCCTTAAGGCAGCGACCTCGAAGAAATATGTGCATACTTTAGGCCAGGAAGGACAGCAATTGCTCCAGGAAGGAAAGGCATGAGCTGCAATGAAGTCATGGGAAATTAAGTTCCTTCCATGATTTTAGAAACATTAACATATGTGGCCAGAGAGAAACTAGATAAAATCCAGGAGAAATGATATAAAATATAAACAAAACACCACCCAAAAAAAGTACTTTGTCTTGTTTTTATATAGTTTATTTATATAAACCATCAATATTGAAGGTGGAGAGACGGTGAGGTTTGTGTATAAATGGATTTATCAACAGAACTAAATAAACAAAATGTAAAAAATTAAAATAAAAAAAGTAGTTAATGAGGTGACCTCTGACTGTTTTTCTCCTTCCCTCTGGTTAGGTTTTAGAGTCTATGGGGCTGGGGAGCCTATAGAGTTTGTTGTCTTGGTTTCAGGCAGTGGTACTCACAACCGGTAGAACATTCTTAGTAGAATTGTGTACATAAAATGCATGTGCAAATTGTAGAACCAAGCGGCAACCTCCAGTGTAAAAAAATAGAGCCAATGTGGAAGTACAAAAACCTGCAGTTTTGAGTGACATTGAGAGTGCACTGAAGGCTGGCCGCCTCAGGTCCAGCTCTTACTCGCAGTTTCCACAGGATCCATACCATTTCTATTTACTTTGCTGTGTTTCGTCTTCGGTTTACAGGTTGTTCTCTTTCTTCCTAGGGATCTTGTAGAGCTGCTGTTATGTTGTAGTTATCCTGTGATTTGGGTACCTGTGTGAGTCCAACTGCTGATGGCTGTACTCTTCTGCGCTAACGCTTAAGAAACTGACCTGGTCAAAATAACATGATGGTTAAATCACGGCAGCCACAAAAAGCACAAGGATCCTGTGGAAACCGCCAGTTAGCCGGGTGTTGGCTAAATGGTAAATGGTAAATGAACTGCACATGTATAACGCTTTTCTAGTCTTCTGACTACTCAAAGAAGTTTTACACTTCATGTCACATTCACCCATGCACACCACATTCATACACTGATGGTAGAGGCTGTTACCAGGTACTAGGAAGCAAATTGTCAGGATTAGACAGAAAGGCAGGACCCAAGCACAGAGGATGAAAGGCAGATGTGTCACATATTGTAAATAGGAGGATTTAATTGAAGGCATGGATAGATAGACAGGTAGACAAACTGGTAACAAGAAACAGGTGAACAGGTAGACAGGAAGGTCCAGTATTTAGGTACACAATCCTACAGAAAAACATCAACTTGCACAGCAGAAAAGCAGGATGAACTGGGATAAAACTATTGAAATAGTCCAGGATATATGGATTGATACGGCTTCATGAGATGGAGACTAGGGGTGGGAAATATGGTCCTGAAAGAATATAGTGATATTTCTAGGTATTTTTGCTATACACAATATCTTTGAGGATATAAAAAAATATTGAAAATTACTTAGAAAATTTGAATTTTCATTAGCATAAAATTGAAGCACAGTTATATTGTGCTCCTTCGAGTGCTTAGGTTTGAAGTGGTGAAATAAGTGTGACGTGTTGCCCTTTTTTGTTAGTCTTCTTGCACTCCTTACGTATTACCATGGTTTGTTTTACATCTGATTTGTTGCAACCAAACCAATTCCACACTATGAAGTCGCTCCCCTTTTTGGAACTAACTCATCCAGCGCAGAGTCGGTACTTTCACTTTCCGCCATGCTTGTTGTTGCACTGCACTGAGTGCGCAACGATTTGACGTCAAGAAGGGATGTTGCCATTATCACAATATACATATATATACATATATATAATCACTTAATTCAATTAATAAAAAATATACAGGTATATATCGTGAACCATACAATATGCCACACCTAAAATGGAGACAGACTACAATATTTCCATTCTTTGGTGGTCTTCAGCTCAAACATAGGGGAAATATTACACAAAATGCAGTTTGAATCAACTTTATTTTTAATCATGATCTGTGTGTGAGTTTAATAGCTACATACTTGTATTATGTTTTTTCAGAAATACATTTTTCAAATATTTCAAGCTTCAAAGCTTAAACAAAAGATGCATCCTGACATGGTACTGTTGCTTTTTTGAGCGCACTCTCTTTCTGTGTGGTGGTATGTGATCTTTGTACGCTGCAGGAGTTACGTTATTATAATCCCTCATGAGCAGATTAAGATGAGGGAGGGAGATGGACAGAGAACATTTTTTTTGCCACATTGTTCCAAAAAGAAGGATTTATTAGGGGATAACGTTGCTAGGAGACCCTGACATCAGCTATTTATCCCACAATCATGCAGTAGCCCACGTGCATTCAGACTGCGTGTGTGTGTGTGTGTGTTCTCCTCTCCTCACTGCGTCTGTGTGTCCTTGCTCTGTTGGTACTACAAGCCGGGAGCATCTCCCTCGCTCTCTGCTCGAGTTAAGTCAAGGCTGTTTTTTGCTCAAGTATAATTTGCAGTCAGCTCAGGGCTGCTTGCAGAATGAACAACGGATGATGCTTGAGGTTTATTCTTTATTTTTAATACAAAGCTTTTTGTCAGGCGCAATATTGTCGAGGTTGAAGGACAAATTCAGCTCCCTCACAAGCCTGTCTTCTTTGGAATCAAGTGACTTGATGGAGCGTTAAAAGCAGAAAGGGAAAGAAACACTTCAACCTCAGCAACAGAGGAACAAAGAAAGCTGGAAATAAACTCAAGAAAAAGGAGCTGCGAGTCAGTGGACTATTTACTCTCTGTATTTGATGATGAGGCTCGCAGAGGACGTTTGTCTGCTCTCAGAATACACTTTTCTTCTTATGGACTAATCCCGCCAGACTGCCTACAGGCAGAAACAAAGCATGCTGTAAAGCTCTCAAAGGTGATGTGGTGGCAGAAGAGCAGCGATTTTCATCCATCTTCCTATCTGAAGAAAAGAAGCAGTTTTTCTCTTCTTTCGTCTTTGCAGTCCTCTTCACATGAAGAAATCCAATTCCTCTGTTATGATGTTCCTGCTTTGGGCTGCAATGAAAGGAACATCCCCGCAACTTGAGGCATCTCTTCGTCAAATTGTCCGTCCCCTTTGTTACTTTGTATCTTCCATGTCTATGCCGCTGCATTTACCTTGAATACTTTTCTCTGCTTTCATTTTTCTTTTTTTGTTCCTGCCTGAAATAGCTGTTACTCAGACACACTTGCTCCTCCACCGATTATCCTTGTTGAGCTGTTCCTCCCCTGCACCTCTGTACACTCGTTACTACACTCTCCTAAACTTTTTCTCTCATAATTTAGTTTTCTTTTAAATTTCTTTCCCCCCACTCTCTCCTGAATTTCAGCTATCTGCATTTGGGTCCTTTCTTAACCTGAGGGCACCGGACCACTGACCATTTCTTTAAATTCCTTGTACTTACTTGATATAATTTACCTCCAAAAATCTTCTTTGGTACCTTTTCCCCTTTTTTGCCCTCAAAATTAACCGTCCCGTACATTCACCATGCACACCTCTGAGGAGCTCTGGAACTCCACCGATCAAGTTTGGATAAACGGCTCGGAAGGAAACTTCTCTCTGGTAAGACGTGGGGATGATGAGGAAGAGGAAGGAGACCAACATCCCTTCCTCACGGACGCCTGGCTGGTCCCTCTTTTCTTCGCCCTCATCATGCTGGTCGGTCTGGTTGGAAACTCTCTGGTTATTTATGTCATCACTAAACACAGGCAAATGAGAACAGCAACCAACTTTTACATAGGTGAGTTGTTGAGGAAGTTTGTGTTTCTGATTTGTATTGGTTTTTGATGGAATCTTTGTGATGGATGCAAAATAGATTAAAACACATCATACTTAAAATAAGTGGCTCAAGGTGTTGCCGGCTGTGGCTCAGTTGCTAGAGTCGGTCGTCTCTCAACCAGGAGGTCGAGATATTTCAGATAACCCCAAGGTGCTCCTGCTGCTTTGTTGGCAGCATATGAATGGGTTTAATTACTTGTGATGGTCACTTTACATAGCAGCAGTGTCAAAGTACTTTTACTTGTCAGAAGAATAGAAAAGCTCATTGTCCATTATCATGCATCATATCAGCATGCATCAACTTCAAATAGATCGTATATACAGTATGTTTGATGCACATCTCCTTGATCTTTGCAGAATCGATTCATTGCATGCCAACACTGGGTTCAAAAGAACTATACTCTCCATATGTCCAATTAAGAAATGGCTGAGGGAAAGAATGTCCAGTTCTCCCTCATGCCAAAACAGCAGAAGAGATTTATTCTGATGTGTTCTGAATAAAAAATTCATAGACTCCCTTAAGGGCAATCCTAAGCTGGTTGAAAAACACATGTTTATGGAGAATGAATTTGTGCAGGTCAGTCGACTTTTAGGGTGTTGTGAGCTAAAGGGTTTTATTGTCAGAAGGTTAACATGGTACAAACCAAAGAGATCATAGAAATTGCAGTAAAAGTGTATTACAATTATCTCAATCTTTTAAGTGTTCTCCCAGGACTACTCAGTATGTAGTGAGTTCCTGGACATTACACAAAATAAGATATCAATTAATTGGGTTTCCATTCAATACCTTTATGCTTTCATCTGGAATTGAGTGCATTGGAATAAAGACCTTTCTGTTTTATCGTGTGCTATAAAACATAGTGGATGATGGATAGTAACTGTAGATTTTTTGAAAGATATCTGTGTTGTTTCTTCAGTGAGCAGGGTGTTTATATTGTGTCAGCACAGTTTCATTAGGTAAAAAAAAAAGCAAAACTACTTGGCTACGTTTGGGAAGAGAACATGGTTCTGTCTTGAATAGAATAGAAAGTCAACATTGCCATTTTTTTTTTTTTTGTGGGACCCAAAGAGCTGACTCCTCTGTGAGCAAGAAACAGTGATTATTAATATGAACATTTTGCGAAGCTAGTGTTCTCATACATACATTGACTACAGAACAAGGGGACTGATGGAGATGATATTTTCAATACATAGAGACGATGTGGGAAACATGACAGAAATATGTCTCTCTGTAAAGAATGTAAAGGTGTCCTTTTTACTATATGAACTGTTTGCAATCGATTGCATCTGTTGCTCCTGTTTTTTTTTTAATCTCTTTTTTTCTTCACTATAAATACAAAATCCAAGGAGTGCATCAATCATACAATTGCTTCATCTTTCTTCTGGTTTTCTGTGCTCACAGACTGGATACTTGGGTGATGATTTTTGTTGTTGAAGTCAATTAGAGCGTGTGTGAAAGATCTGTGTGGTCACCTGTCTCTTAAAGAATTGCACAAGGTGATTTATTATATGAGGTTAAGATAAGAACAAGAATGATGAATCACAATAGAAAGAATGCTTGTCTCCTAGAGATAGATATGTAAATGAGCTTGCGTAGAGGCAATTTCTGTCCGTGTTGGCAATCTGAGTGTGACAAGAATTCAATCTTAGATAATATCCCAGGGACCCGTCATTGAAACAGTTTAATATTCAGCAACAATAGATCAGCACCCGCACCATCTGCACACCCTTTCAATATTATGGCCTAGCCTCTTTAGTGTATGATGAGATTAACTGGTAAAACAAATAGGAAGATGTGTGTGGTGTATTTGTCACTATGACAGACACAGAAATAAGAAAGCACGATCAGACTGCAACGTTTATCTTGCATCCTCTGCTAGTGTGATTTAAAGATATTGGGTGAATTTAAATTATTCTGTGGGTTTTTTAAATAGTCTGTATTTGTAAGTTTGACCTGTTGTCAGGTTTTTCTTTTGACAGTTAAGGGCTTTTTATTTTCTATTGGCGCCTTAAGCACATCATCATTAACCTTGTTGATTTTGAAGTAGTCTCATAGACATTGAAATGAGATGCGCTAGATTTACCTCACTTAATTGTAACCTTATTAGGATCAACAAACACAAGCAGAAGCACTTCTTTTGTCATGGATCAGTGTGTAAAACAAGGGAGGTGGACCCAAATGCAGAATAACAAAAATGATTTCATTTAACAAAAAGGCAAAAGGCAAAAGGCAAACAAAACTTAGTATTCAAAAAGTCCAAACTGAAAAAACCCACAAAAGGTAAATAACACAGGTAGCCACGAGGAAAACCGACAGGGTAATCAACATGGAGGGAAACACACAGAGGCAGGAATACAATACAAGAAACACTGAGGACAACTACAAACTAAATCATGAAACACTAAAGACACACAGAACTTTACATTACCACTAGAAGAAAGAAATACAAGGATAAGAAACTACAAAATAAAACAGGAAACACTAAAGACTAAACTATGAAACATTAAGGAAACAAACACACAAGGGAAACAAGCAACACAAGGATGGACAGGAGAAATTAAAACATGGAAACCTAAACGCTGAAATACAAAACTAAATGAGACCAAATCATGACACCTTTGGTAGAAACAGAAACAACTCTTCAGTCAAAAAGCTTCCATAAACTAAACACAACAGGAACATGTACAACATTGTAGTTACAATGGATTGCATGAGATTATGCAGGTGTTGCTTTCTGTTCTATGTACTCCAGATGGATGATAACACTGTGGGGAAGAGTACAAAGCCACAGAGGTTTAACTCTGTTACAGTTCACACCAACAGCTGTCATTCCATATCTGTTCCAGACAGACAGTGAATTGTATGGGATTTAGTTTAGTTCAATTTACTTTACAAAATACAACAAGCAGAACAATTTCAATTGTTCACATTTACTATGTCCAAATAGTCTGGATACAGATTTTTCTGGAATGTGGTGTAGAGCCTCATGTTTAGAAAATATACTTTTTTAGTTGTTTATCTTTCGATCAAATTGGGATGAGTCAGGTAAATGTTCGGTCAAAAATAGCCAGAAAAGTTTCCTATTCCCAATACTACATACACATTTTGCTTTAGGACTAATTGTTCAGATATTATTTTTTATGAGACTGCAGATGAATATCTTTATCAGTCATTTAGGCAAGTTCATGTGAAAACGTAGCTGGGGAACCATACAAATAAGCAAGTTATTTTTTGGGGAAATGACTCCTTCCAGCAACCCTTGTTCTAACATTTTGCAATTGACCTGATTCAGGTTAAGCAAAAAAAAACCCCAAAAAAACAGTTTTTTGAATATGGGATTGGGTTAAAGCCACAGACTTGATAAAACACGAACATAGTTGTGCTGACCCATTGATTGGAGGCGAGTTTTGAAGCCCAATAATGGCGGTCACCATATTGGAAATGCTGCCTAAAGCTGACTTTTGGTCAACCTGGAAACAAGGCAAAGAGGTGGAGCTGAGGCAGGCCTTTAGCCTCCTGGCAAGTAGCTACAAAACTGTTTCTAATGATGACTATTCCCTTTTCTTTACCCTAGGTTTGTTATTGTCAACAAGAAAAAAGTCCCCTTACTTAAACATTGGGTCATTATGATCCAATCAACATTCATTTTTCATCCTTCCCAAACCATAATCTGTCTCAATATATTTTTGTCATTCTGTCATCATAAAAAAGATTTTTTTTATCAGCTGTGTTTTGTACCTGCATGCTTTTAAACTTTGAGGGGATGTGGTTGTAGCTGCGGTTTCTTCTTTCTAGTTTTTCGTCCTCACTGGAACACATCTTATTGCTCTGTTATTATGTTCCTGCTTTGGGCTACAATGGAATGAGCTCCTCTCTTCAACATGAGGGATCTATTTCAAATCTTTTCTCGCAGTCCTTTCAGAGCACCTCGATCCCTGATAGGAACAAACCAAAGGAACATTTCTTTTATAATGTTGCACAGGGAATGGACAAACACTGTGGAATACTATTTGTGAAATACTTTGAAACACTGTGCTGCAGACTGTACTCCTGATATCACCGTTGTTGTTGTTTTCTCTCTGTGCAGCAAACCTTGCTGCCACTGACATCATCTTCTTGGTGTGCTGTGTGCCCTTCACCGCCACCCTCTATCCTCTCCCTGGATGGATCTTTGGCAACTTCATGTGCAAATTTGTCGCCTTTCTTCAGCAGGTAGACACATGACTCAAACTCTTTGTAATTGTATGTCAATCATTTGTTGCTCGGTAAACTTTCAGATGCAAAAAAGTGTTGTGTCTGAAAAAGGGAAACAAGGATTTTAATCACACATGTCTGATTGTCTCTTCAATTAAACATACTGGAGTAAGTGTTGTGATTTAGTGTAATGACTATTAGGACTTTTGAACAATCAAAACTCTTTCTCCAGCAGCAGCTTAATTTGCGCTGATTGCATTAGTCAGCTTTGTATCAAAACCAATGTTTTTGATCACCTCAAAGATGTCTTCATGATCTTTTATACTATGGTAAAGCACTGTCTCAAACAAGCTTCAATCCAAATTCAAATTGTTGGATTCTTTACATTGACTTGAGGCAATATTGACTCCTTCAGTCCACTTAAACCTTTTCACTCACCATCACCTTCTGATGGTGAGTGCAGCTTCAAACTTTGGGACTGCTTCGCGAGCCGGTTTAACCCCCGGAGAGGAGACGTAAACATAAACAGTGCGAGCGGAAACAAAAGCGAGGTAAACGTGGAGGCACAAGAGCGAGACTGGCTAAAACACCACACAGGTCCGCTCTTCCAACTCTTCTACTGGCAAATGTAAGATCTCTGGATAATAAAATGGACCATATAGAGCTACTGAGAGCTGCGCACCGCGACGTAAGGGACGGCTGCGCGTACATTTTCACAGAGACCTGGCTGAACGAATGCATCCCAGACTCCGCCGTTCAGCTTGAACAATTCACATGCTACCGTTCGGACAGAATCCTTATTAAAGGAGGAAAGAAGAAAGGTTGTGGAGTCTGTGTTTACATCAGTGATGCTTGGTGTCGAGATGCTACTGTGGTATGTAAACGCTGTTCACCGCTGGCGGAGTTTATGATCGTAAAGTGCCGTCCTTTCTATCAACCGAGAGAGATAACAGCGACCTTGCTGGTCGCTGTGTATATTCCCTCCACCACCAACAATGCTGATAGAATCGACGCACTTTGGGAACTTTACAACGCCATCAGTGAGCAACAGACAGCCCACCCAGACGGATTTTTCATCATCGCTGGGGATTTTAACCATGCAAATCTCAAGACGGTTTTACCCCACTTCCACCAACACATGACCTTTCCCACAAGAGAAGGTAACATTCTGGACATGATTTACACATCAGCCACTCTGACCATATCAGTGTAATGCTAATGCCAGCTTACAGACCCAGGGTTAAAGTCACCAAACCAGTTCTGAAGCAGGTATGTGTGTGGCCAGCGGGGGCCTCTGCTGCACTACAAGACTGCTTTGACACCACAGACTGGGAGATGTTTAAGCAGGCAGCCACCTACAACAACCACACAGACATTGAGGAGTATTCTGACACTGTTACCTCCTACATTAGCAAATGCATTGCTGATGTCACCACCACCAGAACCATCACCACCCGGGCTAACCAGAAGCCATGGCTGACAGGAGAGGTACGCGGGCTACTGAGGGCCAGGAACAACGCCTTCAGAGCTGGGGATGCAGCCTGCCTGAGAACAGTGAGGGCCAACCTGTCCTGTGGCATCAGGGAAGCCAAACGCAGCTACACACTAAAAATAACCGGACACTTCAAGGACAGCAGAGACGCGCAGAGCCTGCTGCGTGGTATCCAGACCATCACGGACTACAAACCCAAGCCACAGACCTGTGACAGCAACAGCTCTCTGCTGAACGACCTCAACAGCTTCTTTGCCAGGTTTGAAGCACACAACAGCACGCCCCCACAGAAGACCACCCCCCCTCCCCACGACCAGACCCTGTGCCTGACTGCAGCCAGCATGGAGAACCTTCTCCAAGATCAACACCCGCAAGGCTGCAGGTCCAGACAACATTCCTGTCCGTGTGCTGAAGGACTGTGCAGAGGAGCTCAAAGATGTCTTCACAGACATTTTCAACGCTTCTCTGAGTCAGGCTGTTGTTCCGTCGTGCTTCAAAGCCACCACCATCATACCCGTTCCAAAGAAGCCCTCACCATCCACTTTCAATGACTATCGACCAGTTGCACTGACCCCATCCCCATGGTGGCCTCAGACAGTGCGGGTCAGCGGCAGCACATCAAAAACCACCGTCATGAGCACGGGGGCCCCCCAAGGTTGTGTGCTCAGCCCCCTGCTCTTCACACTGCTGACCCACGACTGCGCTCCATCCTTCAGCAGCAACCACATTGTGAAGTTTGCGGACGACACAACAGTGGTTGGTCTCATCTCCAACAACGATGAAACGCACGACAGGATGGAGGTCAGCCAACTGGCCACGTGGTGCAGAGACAGTGGGGACTCTCCGGAAGTCGACAACAACCTCCTTGGTCTTGTCGACGTTCAGGAAGAGGTTGTTGTCGACTTCCGGAGAGTCCCCACTCCTAACCCCCCCCACTGACCATCGACGGTGCTGCTGTGGAGAGAGTGAGCAGCACCAAGTTCCTGGGGGTTCACATCAGTGAGGATCTCTCCTGGACAACCAACACCACATTACTGGCCAAGAAGTCCCAGCAGCGCCTCTACTTCCTCCGCAAGCTGAAGAGAGCACGAGCCCCTCCATCCATCATGTGCTCCTTCTACAGAGGCACCATCGAGAGCATCCTGACCAGCTGCATCACTGTGTGGCTTGAGAGCTGCACTGCTGCCAACCGCAAGACCCTGCAGTGCACAGTGAAGGCTGCTGAACAAATTATCGGTGTCCCACTCCCCTCTCTTCTGGACCTCTACGGTACCCGCATCACCCGCAAAGCAACCAGCATTGTGCGTGACCCCAACCCCCCCTCACACAGCCTCTTCAGCCTCCTGCCATCGGGGAGACGGTACTGCAGCCTGCGGGCCGGCTCCACCAGACTGGGAAACAGCTTCTTCCACCAAGCTGTCAGGAAGCTTAACTCTCTCCCCTCTCTTCCTTCCCTCCCCTCTGCCCCCATGAACACTGGACGTTGAAACCCCCTCCCGTTTGCCACCAAGAACTCTGGACTAATAACTCTGAAGCTAACTATTCAAAAGTCCACTCAGTTTACTGCACATTGCACATATTGCACAAGTTTACTTTTTCTTTAAATTTTATTTTATTTTATTTACCATTTTGTACCTTTTGCACAATTTAGAATTTATTACTGTAAATATTATTTATCTTATTTTTACCTCATTTTATTTTATCTATTTTACCTTATCTTATTTTACCTTATTTTGGTTGTATTGAACCGCGGGACAGAGACAAACGCAATTTCGATTCCACTGTATGTCTGGAATATTTTGAAATTGACAATAAAGTTGACTTTGACTTTGACTTTGAATACAAGGAAGACCCAAATGCTGACTCAAACTAAAAGATTTAAACAAAAGGCGAAAGTCTGACGATGAGCTGACCCAGAAGGGAAGGAAGATTTTCGATATTGGACCAAAGTAAGGTGGTGGTGGGCTGTAAAAACAAAATAAAGAGCTGAAAGATTCTTAAATGCTCCACAAGACAAGTTTTGTTTTCATCTCTCACTGGATTAGTCTCAGTGAACAACCCATTTTCATGAGGCAAATCAATAGTTTGCATAAATAAAAAGACATACACCTTATCCGGGTTTGTGAACTCTCTCACACCCACAGAGACACTCCAAAACAGACTTTAGTCACAAACACATGGAGAGGAGGTGTGGCTGAGGGCTGAAACATCCATAAACACTGACATTCTCAGGCTAAATTGTGTTGATGTTAACCTACCAACTTGTTGCTTTCACACTTTACCTTGGCTGCACCCAATCCTGCTAAGACAAAAATGTAACACTTACCACACATACAACACAGCAATTAAACCAGAAAGGGCAAATTGAGGTGGTATTTTTTTTCTGGTACAAATGCATCATGAGTAGAAGCCAAGCAAAGGTTACAGCCAGTCTATTGTCACAGCCTGTTCCCCTGTTCCTCCATGCAGCCTCTAAATGGATAATAGTCCATTACAGTATCCTAAAACGATCAGCATGTGACAATGAGATGGTGTGAAGTTCAGATATTTTTCTGTGTGCTGTAATTACAGTAAGTACTAATGCACTAATAATTGTAGTCTATAGAAGTATGCTCAACGGGCATGGTTTGACAGGGTCTAAACGAAGTGCTGGGTTTACCTCAACCTCAGTTCAGTTAAGCAGTTTGTCAATCCATGAAAATCTGTCCGGATACAGAGTTAGAAACCCAGATTGACTAAAATATGGGGTGAATTCAAACGACCAAGAGGTTAAAACTGTACCTTTCATTCTGAAGCTAGCAGGGAGGAGGAGACAATCTGTCAGGATTAAAAAGATGACATTTTCCTTTGTATGCAGAGTGACTGTATGAAGCTGCTAATTTGTGCATAAAACTGTGAAATGTCAGTCAGAGAGACAGGCCAGGAAGAGGGGCAGTGAGGCAGAGCAGCTAAAAGCATTTTAATTATAAAGACAGAGACGCATTCATTCATTTTAGGCTTATCTGGTGAAGTAAAGTCTCCTGAAGATGAAGACTGACCAAAACCCTCTAATTGAAAAATGGAAAAAAGTGTCAGTCTGGCAGATTTCCCCAAAAGCATTGTTGTTCTGTTTAAGTCATTAATCACCGTACATATGCATGAAACATTTATATGTGTTTCTATGAAGGGCCATTTTCTTCTTTTTGTGTAAGAGAAATTGTATTAGTGGTTAATGATTGTAACAAGAACTGACTGCCCGTTATGCCTCAGTCCTGCACATTTTTCAAGGAAATATTGACCACCAGTCGCTCAAATTTTCTACAGTTCAATAGAAACAACCAAAGGGAAACAGCAAGTGTACAGATCCATTATTGTTGGGTTCATCAATCTCTGTGAAAGTCAATTACACATTGCACTTCTTGTACTTATTCACATAACACAAACGAGTATACTGTATAGCTGTGAAGGAACAGGTACTTCATAGAAATGTTGAGTCAGCATAATGCCTTCTTTGTTTGTTCAAAACTAAATACAAACAGGATTTTACTTGTGAGAAATTACACTGATAATAAAATGTTTTTAATTTTTTAATGTCAGGTGATAAATTATATCTTAGAATAATTACAGTTGAATTTCCATAATTTGTAAAAACAGAAACTGTGTTGAAATGCATGAATCAGAAATCTGTGTCTCATGCTGCTGGGTCTGTCGCCTACTGACTTATTGAGTGACTCTTCCCCCCACAGCCAAAATCGTCTGCAAGACATCATTAGACCTAGCACCATACTTCGAACAGACTTTATTTTTAGATCTTTATTTGTCCATATGGGGCATTATCAATCCATAATCAATCGAGGGTGAACACAAAACTATAAATCGTGCAATTGTTATTTGTGAAAATCTGCTGCAGACTGATGATGGATGTCAAATTTAAGGTTGCACTTAATTTCTCAATAAGTGATGAGTTAATATATAACAAGCTACTTTTTTAATGGAAATTAAGTTGCTTTTGTTCAGTTTTTAACTCCATATTCTATTCATAGCTTTTAATCGGCGCGGAGGCTTTGAGGACAAAAAGAGATGATTAGCCACCATTGGACACAATGTGGAGCTGCAGTGTGGGCTCCATCATTATCCATCTCTAAAAAAACAACACATGTTTATGTCACCTGACAAGCGGAGAAAAAAAATAGATATTTGGCAAAAATGCAAGTTTTAGGCACTAGCGACTCTTATACAGCACTCTGCACACTAGTTCAATCGCTTTAAACAGCGAAGTCCTCGCCAGAAGGTCACTTCAATGATGTTTACTTATATAAAGTGGTGAATACTTCTCCTTATACGGCTACTAGGATGAAAACCTACTAAAGTAGGCTTAATGCAGCTTGGCACGCAGGGGTTTAAAGAAGACATGCATTATATATGATGAAATGTATATATTTTTTCACTGGGCGTCTTTGAAAGATTATGGTAACCACATCTCCTGTGAACTCGATACTGAACCCATCTCAACCCCTCTCTTTCTCTTTCATTTGAGACACTGATGTGGTGCTTCAAACCTCGGAGGTAATGGTTCCTGGCTTCACAGTGGCACAGAAGAGCTGCAGAGAGAAAAAGAGATACAGAGAAAGAGACAAGAGAGGGACAAAATTAGATCCTATTTGAAAAAGACCAGAGAGAAAACTTATGACCTCTCATTTCTCACCCTGCTGCACATACTTTAAAAGTAATACAGATTAGTTTACCTACAGATAATTAAGTAATATGATCCGCAGCGGGCATTGCATTTGAAGTTAAAAATATATTTATTTTTAGAGGATAAGAATATGGCTTATTTTATTATCCTGGCTTATCAAATGGCTTATTGTATTCCTACTCTTTTGAAAACCAATGTACAGGTGTGTGATGAAAGAAAACAGTACATCCTCAACAGTAAAACATGATGACTGTGAGAGCTGAGTAATATTGTTTTTATCTGCAGAGAAAAGATAAAATAGGTCTGATAATGAGAATTTTGAAGTGGATTGTCTAAGTCATGACCTTCAATGGCTGTGGCAAAGTTGCAGATTCAGTTAGTTTCTCAGCGGGTCGGGGGTCTGATGTCGAGGTGTCCTTTGGCAAGATACTAATCTCAAATGGCTCCTGCTGCTTCATCGGCTGTGTGCATGAATTGGATTAGTTAATACTGATGGACACTTTACATAACAGCTCTGCTGTCATGTGGTGCATGTGGTCTGCATGGATGAATGTGATATTCTTTGCCAGTGCTTTGAGCACTTTGAGTAGTCCTAAGACTAACAAAGCGTTATACAAGCTCAGGTCCATTTACCATTCAAGTACTGTATCTGAATATATATGGAAATGGATTTCACTGATGAGTCAGAGTAAAACTCAATCAAGCACCATTGAACCCTATTAAAAATAGATTTAACATTTTCTCATATTCTAATAAAAAACTCATCACAGATGCCACCTCCATGTCATGAGTTGCTTAGAATGGTATTTATATAGTTGTTCATATATCATTTCCTGTTTGATCAATTACTGCCCTCGAGTTCCTGCTTCCCTGTGTATCTTTACTGACAAATTCATGGGTTTAGTTTTTAGTGTTTCCTGCTTCATTTTGTGGTTATTTTCCTCAGTGTTACATATCTGCTTTACTCCCTTGCCCTTACCAGTTTCACCTATGTCTTGTTTCTCACATTTAATTTTCATTTTCTTTGTCAGCTCAGCAGCATAAAGCCAGCCGCTTTTCCCTTTTAGTTGGTCAAGTCATTGTGTGAGTTTTTGCTGTTGGTTTATCTGTTTGCGCTGTTTTTTTTTTGTACCTGCAGCTTTTGGTTTGCCTGCCTATCATTCTTGGTTTTTGTAAACTGCTCTTCTTTTGTCATTACATATTTTTTGTTTGCTGCATTAGCCTGTCTGTATTTATGCACCTTCATTTGGGTCAAGTTTCCCTGTGTGCTTACAGTTTGTGACACTCCCATCTGCTTCCTACCATCTTTCTGTTTCCTGAATGTTCATCCCTCTCTCTTCCTTATTCTAAGAGCATGAGAGCGTATTGGCAAAATCTTGGATGTGTTCTCTGACTGGAGAAACTTAAAAACTGGTTTCCTGAGGGCGAAGAAGGAGCTTAAATTCATACTTTGCTTTGTGATTAGGGTTGATTAAAACATTCACAATTTGAAATAAAATCATACGGTACTGTAAGGCTCTCTTTGACTCCAAATGGCTCTAAAAGCTTAGAAGAGAGCATTATTTCGTAGCTTTAAGTCTGTGTGTTGCTGAAAATAATCCCTGACATTTTACATCCAGAACACTTAGATATGCCACAGGAGTCTTTTTAAAATACTGATTGTCCAAAGGAGATTCTGGATTCACTACAAGTAAAAAAACATGCAACCCAAAGGGCTTCACAAAAGAACAAACTGCATATAATAACAGAGATGCTGTATACAAAACACCAAACTAATGGATCTGTGTCAGTCGGAACAGTTGGAAACAGCTTATCAAAGTAACACTTGTTTTTTCTGTATATTTGATTCAGACTACGCTTTCCTTCTCCCTTGTATCAGGGTAACATCTTAAGTCTTTCATGTCACATCTGTCTTTGTGACCTAGATGTTAACAAAGAATACAATTGGTTTAAAAAACTGGCTTTAAAGACATATTTCAAACTTTAACTGCAGCAAGACAATAGATCCATAGTCTAGTTCCCTAACACTCATGTGTGGTGCTTGTTACATATTTAGTGTGTTCATCATATGTGTATAACTGTCTTTCCCAGGTGACAGTCCAAGCCACTTGTATCACCCTGACAGCTATGAGCGGAGATCGCTGTTACGTCACAGTCTACCCTCTGAAATCTCTCCGACACCGAACTCCAAGAGTAGCCATGATCGTCAGTGTCTGCATTTGGATTGGTATAACCTTGCACTTTTGAACTTGTCATTTTGACTTTCATAAGAAAAATATGATGTAAAACAACGCAGTCTTTTTCTTTCCCAGGGTCCTTCATCCTGTCCACACCTATTCTAATGTACCAGCGTATAGAGGAGGGTTACTGGTATGGCCCCAGGCAGTACTGCATGGAGAGATTTCCTTCTAAAACACATGAGAGGGCTTTCATCCTCTACCAGTTTATTGCTGCCTACCTGCTTCCTGTCCTCACAATCTCCTTCTGTTACACCCTGATGGTGAAGCGGGTTGGCCAGCCGACAGTTGAACCTGTAGACAACAACTATCAGGTATGGACAGGGCTTGTTTTGCTTTTGCTTAATTTAAGTCCCTTGACTTTGTATAAAGATTTGTCTTCATGCTCTTGAAACTAAATGACGTCCTATTAAAAAGTTAAAAAGGTATTTTCTACATGGTGGAGTCATCTGTCCTTTTATAAAGCTTTTTTTCATTCTTTCAATGTTCACTGGCTTTGAAAATGTCTTTCGAAGCACCTGTCTTTTAAGCAGCTTTCATCTATCGTTTAATTATAATAATTCTCCGTCAAAGGAATGCTCATAATAAGAAATTACTCACATAACACTCAGATGTTACATTAAGCTCTAAGAACTCTTGTGACTGCCATTTCCCAGCATTGTCATCAACATTGTAGAGCTGTGTTCCTGTTTTACAAATCCAAATAGTCTAAAGAACTTGACAAATTGTTAGCATTTCAACCATTCCTTTTAGATAATTAAACAAAAAAAAATTATAGTTCAAATCAGGAGGGGAAATGGGCCATAGTTAAAGAGAAAACACATGTTAATGACTAGTTAGCTAAGAGACAAGTCACTACAGCTAAGCATCCTACCAATTCCAAGCTAGCATTACTGTAAACCCAGAGATTAGTTGGCTTGAAGTTGTCATGGCTATTAAGCTATTGCTAGTTTTAAGGTTCATTCAAGCATTGACATACCAAACTGTACTTGAGTAATATACTTCTTCCACCATCGCTTAAAGGGGACTGAATAATGGACTGTAATCTGGGGGACAAAAATACTGACTGCCATTAGAGCATAATGTTTCTCCATATTTGCTTGATGTGTAAATATTTCCAAACCACTGCTCTACTGCCCTGATGTAAGTCATCACAGTGAACGGATGGTATCTCAAAGGAGCAGGTTAAACTGGCATACAACCTGAGCAATGGTAAATGGACTTGAGCTTATGTAGCGCTTTTCTAGTCTTCTGACTACTCAAAGTGCTTTTACAACGCATGTCACACCCACCCATTCACACCTGATGGTAGAGGCTGCTATGTAGTGAGACTATGTATGAACATCTGTATTTCTAATGCGCTCATCATATAAACTTTGACCCTGATGCTATGTCAGTGTTTTTAATCATACACTGCCCCACAGTAGCCACAAGAAGTACTCTTCATTGTTTTTCTCCAGCTGGCTCTCAGCTCTACAAGCTTCTGCTAGCTTGCAACAAATGGCTAAGTGTGAACTGGCAAAGTTTGAGCATTAGCTGTTTGTTGCAACAGCAAAAAAAGACAGAAGGTTCAGTGGTCAACGCTAAAGAAATGTTGCAAGGTAATAGTTTGCTTTACTTTCTATCTGAACACAAAATATTTCTTCTCCTCTCATCTCGTCCTTCGCAGGTCAACCTCTTGTCTGAGAGAACCATCAGTATCAGGAGCAAAGTGTCCAAAATGGTGGTTGTAATTGTCCTCCTCTTCACCATCTGCTGGGGTCCAATACAGATCTTTGTCCTCTTCCAGTCGTTTTATCCAAACTACCGGCCAAACTACGCCACATACAAGATCAAGACGTGGGCCAATTGCATGTCCTACGCCAACTCTTCAGTCAACCCCATAGTGTACGGTTTCATGGGGGCCACCTTCCAAAAGTCCTTCAGGAAAACGTTTCCTTTTCTGTTCAAGCACAAAGTGAGAGACAGCAGCATGGCTTCAAGGACTGCCAACGCTGAGATCAAGTTTGTTGCTGCAGAGGAAGGCAACAACAATGCACTGAACTGAATCTGACAATTCAAAATGAGAAGAATGAGATTCTTGTTTGTACCAAGGGAAATCGCTCCAAGAAGAAATATAAATACTGAAGGTTTTTTTTTTTTAAACCAATGAGCTTACTTTGTCGAAGTCTTAATATATCCGGCTGATCTCTAACAGAATGAAAGACTGTGTGTTGGGCAGACGTATTTGAGTTGTGTTAATAAATACAACTAATTCAAGTATTGATGTGGAGAAACACAGAGTCATAACATGGAAGGACACTAACAGTGCTTGGCACAGTCTGTTTCGATCTGTTTCAATGCCAAAGACTTGGCACATAACATCATTTGTTGAGCTGCCAAACGCCAATGCCAAATAACATAGGACAGTTGTTCACATCTGATGACAAAAATGGAAATTTAACCTGAAAACTGCTGGCGAGAATCCTCACCCCTGTGAGATCATGGTTGACAAGGTCTGATTTGATGTAAGCGATTCATCATTTGTATACAAAGACACACAAGAATGTAAAACTGAATGTTACATTTTTAATGGACTATTGATACCTCTGAAAAGATGCCCTTGACATGTTAATTTATGTGGTACACATTATTGTCGTCCAATCACAAGAGAAAGAGAACTAAAATGTTTCATTTCTCAACTACAGTAGAGACACATTCTGTATCTGAAACAGCAAGCTCTGTTCAGTTTTTAAAGAGGGAGTGTGACATTTCAGAAAGTATGTTTTTTTTCTCTCTCCTGCAGTCTCATGTTTGAGTGCTCAATGTAAAACTAAAACAGGTAATTGTTATCTTAACTTAGCAAAAAGACTAGAAGCAGTAGGACCAGCAACTCTAAAACACATAAAGGTGGCTAACGCATAAAAACACAGAAACTTGTATTTAAGGGTTTTGTTTTGACTTTTCACAGAGCTCCACTTGATCATTTCTAATCTAAGACCTGTTGTAGAATAAAGCTGAGGTAAGCCAATCAACCCATGGTTGCAGTTTTGTTGTGCTAATTTAATAAATAGACTTGATTTATTTAAATTATGAGATCTCAATTTGTAAATAGTGTTCATACATAATGTGGATGTCTCATATTAGCCAAAGTACATAGCTGTATATAATTTAAGTGGGATTTAACTAATGTGACGTTACAGTGTCCGTTTACTGTTCTCTTTTAATCTTTAATGTTTCCATTCCTGACAATTGGGAGAATTTGTTCATTCATCTCTGGTGCCCTAGTTTTACATTGGAGGCTTGTTAAAAACATCCACCTGAATAAAGAACAGGATGTTATTTGTTGATTTTTGTTTCCACACATTTAACCAGCTGTGAAAAAAAGAGTGAGTTTAGGATACCACAGAGTTGTGATTATCCCAGGTGTGACGAGAGGAGCTGGCTGTAAGAGGGTTCACCTCTGGTGAAACATGAACACTGTTTACCTTTCTTTTTTGTCAAAGCCATAAACATTCACACTTTCACAATAACACCTTCCATCAGTACATTAGCACTCACAAAAGCTGTGGAAACATGCATACACGTGCACATGATTCGATTCCACTGTATGTCTGGCATATTTTGAAATTGACAATAAAGTTGACTATGACTTTGACTTGACATGGACTTTCAAAAGATGCAACCAGGTGTTGTTTTCTAGATCAGCTGCCACCTCTCTGAGAAACACCTTTCTGTGACCCTGTCAGGGGGATAAGATTGCAAAAATGTGGAGAGAACCTGTGCGGCCTTTAATGTTCCCTGTTTGAGCGAGCACTTTGATGGAGAGCTTGTTCATGGAGCAGCTTTCAGGCAATGGACATACAGCCTGCATTGTTCGTAAATGTAAAGAGCTGAAGCCAGCTCTCCACTTTGTAGTTGCAGTCATTTTCTGTCCATCCCACACAGTGGCATTCAGAATCAGAGCCACAATTATGGCCCATAGAAAATCTGCTAATGCAATGCTTATTTGAATTGTAAATCCTGTGGGACTGGCCATCATCAGGGCTTCATTCAGTTAAGACCAAAGTGTCTTGAAAGGAAAACCTGAGTGCTTTTGGTTGCCATAGGTTGCCATTAATTGAAACAACCTTTAGGCACATTTTGCTAACAGAAGTGGGAAAGAACTTCAGCAACGATCAACTTGATGTTGATAAATGTGAAAAATGTTTAAGTATAAACATGAACAACTTATAAGTATACCTCAATGCAAAATATATAGTTATTAGTTTACTGAAAAATCATTCTTGACTTTTATTCATCAAGTGCACCACAAAGCCATTTATTCTCATCGGAGTGCCACAGCAAAACATGTCTGAACATGTTTTATTTCAATGCTAATATCTGCTTTTTTTTGCTTTTTATTGTATGTTCAATGTGCTGCAACTTTTTCCACAGAGCATAATGTACATCCGTTAAACCAAGGTCGTCAATAACATGTATAGTTTGAGCTTTAAGTATTCCCTGTATTCTGAGTGTGACAATGTTAGTTAGTCTTTTAATTGTATGTTCTGATTGTTCAGCAATTCAATGCAGCTTCAAAGAAAATAGTAACGGTGCAACAGATCACTGTTGATGCATGATCCGTTCATGAATCCATCCCCCCCCCCCCAAACTGTTTTGTGGCCACATGTGATCTGGGAATCATAGAAAATGTATCAACATGTTTTAACGTTACTGTTAATGTACTGCTGCTAAATCCCTGTGCAGATTCTCAGTGAAGAAAAGGTAGTGTTCAAGTAGTTTAATAACCCACGGTTAAATTAGTTATTTTATAAGTACCTTTATTTACTGGCCGATCTTAAAAACAGATTTTATCAGATATATTATAAAAAATCTAGAATCCAATCCGAACTGTGACATTTGTGATCCGTTGCACCGCTAGAATAAAGCCATTACAATTCTAGCCGTTCATTTGTCCGTCATTGTGGGAAATATGATGACTCACTTGACCAGCGGTGATGATTTGAACAAGTCTCAGGGTATATGGAATCATGTCTCCAGTAAGGTCTCTGATAACTTTTGCACATAGGTCATAATGTAAATGTACAGTTTTAAACGGTATCCCATATAGCTGTTGCCTGTCATACATATTTCTGCTAATATGGCTATTTTGTTTAACTTCATTGTACATTAACAGATGCTCAACATCTGCATTAGAATACACCTGGAATTTTCTGTTTTCATCTTGTTGACAGTAACGCATAAGGAGGTCTTGTTTGCTAACGGCCTGTTTCATCATCTCACTTACAGAAATTGGATTTGGTTCTACTTTGTAAACATAATCAAACATGATTAAAAGTCTGTGATAATACACTTTCCTGAAAATATTTCTCATAATATATATTTGTTTCATGTATTTTGGTTACATTTGTATGAAGACACACCAGCAACTTAAGAATCTGAGAATAAAAGCTAATAACTACAAGAACGACGATAAAAGCACAAGGTGTAACAGTGCAGTTTATTTTATCTGCCGAATATTACAAAACCTTTTGACTTTGAGATTTTCAAGCTGATAACATTTTCCAGATATCCATTGAGTCCATTTTAATTGTCGATTTTTGTGACTTACCCAAGAGACATGGCTGGTTTTGTTGGTCCCCAAACCTGACATATGTCATCCAATGAGAAGATGACACCAAGCACACAACTTTAAACAGATCACGATCGATTACATGCTTTTCTAAAAGGTCAACGGCTGTTCAGTCATTTGACCATCTACTGTTAAGTTGAGAACTCTGCAGGATAAAATGGAAAGCTTTATCTTCAAATGTCAGGGTGAAACACATGCACGCATTAAGAAAAAAGACATCGTGCTCTCTAACGGTGTATTAAGCCTTGGTGCAAAGTTGTTCTGTAGTTCTTTAAAAACCGTTACTAATGCACTGATGTTAAAAAGTCATAAAAGCAATCACAATTATTTTGTCCTGAGCTGTTATAGTAAGGTTGCACAGTCTTATATTTGCCTTTCTTCAGTCTCTTTTTCATTGTAATAAAACCACATTCAAGGTTTATTTCTATCAGCACTGCGCCCCACTTTAACTTTCAGAAGGGCCAACTGTATAACAATGTTCTGGTAATCCTTTTGAGCGGAAATGAAAGAGCAACTAAATCCATCTCTGTGTCCTCTGGCATCAGTGTTCAGTCCCTGAATTCATGAAACTTCTCTAAAACTAACAATCAGAACTTAGATTTGATATTCATTAGCAATGCTTTGCTCAAATAAATCCTGCCGATCGAATGCCTTCAGCCAAAGCTTACCCGTGTACCATCTCTTCTTTTTTAAATAACAAAAATATGTGGGGGGGAATTTGGGGATGAATTTGAAACTGTCTTTCAAGCTCAGTTTTTCATCTGAATATGAATACTTACATCACATTTTGTTTGTACCATTGAGAGCCAAAGAACATATTGTATTAAAAAGTTTCTTTAAAGCAAACCTAAGCCATGCTTTTTGGTCGTTCACAAGCTTGGGGAAAACAAATATGCGAGGGCTGTAATAAATAAGAAAACAATTTGTAGCCGGAGACGCCCAAGTTGCCTCGAACTCTCACAACATCCTGTGTGAAAATTTTTACGAGGTGAATGAGATAGCTGATTAAAAAAAAGGCTGTGGTATAAAAAAGACTTCCCTTAAATAACCAGAATAAAAATGTTTATTTGTGTTTCTCCGGCTCCAAAGCTTTTCAAACACTGATTTATTTTGTGTGTTGCAGTTGTGTTTGCCTGTTATTGCTCTTTGCTTTGGTTTCATTTTACCTTTGATTTGTTCTGGAAATTGTGTTTTTTTTCCCTAGCAGCACTGACTTCTGTCCGGCCGTGCCGTGAATATTATCATTTAAAATGGCCTTTCAGTTTACTTTTTTTTCCCCCTGAAATAACCACATCACAAATAACCAATACATGTTCCTTTTCAGTATTTTTTTAAGCATCAGGGGTGAATTGTAATCAGAACTTGTCCCTTTTGCTGTATGCCATTCCCCACTCTCTCCTCCAAACATTCGCTGCCTTTCTTCAGCTGTCCTATCTGATAAATAACAAAGGGATGCCTCTATGACCTACAACAGCATTCTTTCATCTGGAGGAATGACATTTACTAAGAATAACAAAGAAAGACATTTTCTCACAGCAGCTGTAAGAAATGACACTTATAATGAATGATGTAGAAAAAATTGAATCTGAAGCTGCACGACATATTTCAAGTTTCTACAGTCATGCAGTCTTAAGCTGACGTCAATAAGGGTTTTACCTTAAATTCATTGCAAAAAGGGCATTTTGTCCTGTGTACATGTAAAATATGTTATGAGAGTTATGTTCTTGATGTACCTAATCTTCTTAGTGCAGACTCCTGCAAAGTATTTCCTCACCAACAAATGCCTATTGTCCTGATATTACCTATCAAGGTGAAAGCTACACAAGATGTTTAATTAACAACACTTTCTCATTTTGCTATTTGCCATCTGACAGTCTTAATCTAAACTTGTTGAGTGTATTACACTCTTGTTGAATAGGACAAAACAGAAATGTAATCAAATCGTGGATTCTTAGTTGAGGTTCATTGAGGTTTTCTTCTCCTGCGTTAATCACGCCTGCTTTCTTTGGCCTCCTTCATCAAAGGCTTCTCAACACATTGTGCTGGCAGTTTGAATGGTTGAAGCTTTTTATTCAGTGGTTACACCATCTCTCTTTTCTTACCGTTCATTTAAGACTCATGCTGATCTATGTTGGTTGAACCATTTCCCTTTGTGCTGTGGAAAGAAAATGAAGCACACTGAGTAAGATGAGACCAAGCCTTGTGAATTAAACCAATAGACAGCCACACAAAAAATGAACCAGTTCTCACAGTGATGATATAATATCTCCACAGCCATGTATACAATGCTGGAGAAGGTTTTATGTGCTTGGAATAGAGATTCAAGTTGCCTCCTTCACAGCTTTTTACCGCATCTAAAAAGTTTTTAACAATGTTCCTAGTTTGCCTAATTTAAGTTTTTAAATTAAACTCAAAATCTGTGATAAGTTTGAATCAAAGGTCCCTTACTCAAACTATAACAAACCCTTACTCAAACTATTACTCAAACTATAACAAACTATTATAAGTCTATTTTTAATTGCACAGTTTAAGTTTGTTTCATCTAGGGGTGTTCTTTAAATCTTTTTTTCAGGTTAATATATATGTATGGGAGGGGGGAGTCGGTTTTGCAGTTTAATTTGTAACAAATGTTTCATTTCATGTACGTCCTGTAACCTGCTACTGGATGATTTGAATTTCCCTCGGGATCAATAAAGTATCTATATATTTATCTATCTAAAGAACAGTACCGCATGAAGGCTCCAGCAGAAACTTTTAATAGTCTTTACATTTGATAAATAACATTTTATGTTTGAAATGTGCATTAATGTACTTTTGGTCCTGGACTCCTTAACGCTGTGGGCTATAACCCCTTAAGAGTTGAACTACAATGATATTTGTGCAAGATACACTTTCCCTCTTACAGTGACCCAAAGCACACTGCCAAGTTTTAGCCCATCAATGGTTTTGTTGACTTCACCCGCATACAACATGTTTTGCTTAAACAAAGACCATATACCCAACATCAGTCCAATTTTCAAATCTTTCTGAAATCTTTGAACATTTTGAGGGTTTTGATTAATTGCCCAGGGTTATAAAATGAAACTCTCAACTCTCAATCATGCCTTTTAAGAAAAGGAGGTAAACCACAGCAGAGATGAAAAATGACCTTTCATTAAGTCACTCCTGATTTCACCACATTGATTGTAGTTTGTTGATAAAATTGGCCACTTGGGAGTTCATCTCCATGAATTGTGCTTATGATGGATTAACGCTGGGTAACGTTGGTTGTAATATAGTAATGAGGGGTGTAATCCAAGCGGCAACATCCGGTGTTGAAAGAGGAAGCCAACACGCAAATGCAAAAAACTGCAGTTCCTTGATTGTTCACTTGAGGCAGGATCCAAGAGATCTGGAAGTAATTATACACACCACATCCAAAAATGCCTGTTTTTACAGCAGAAATTAACATGCATCTGCCAGGTTCAAAAATGAATTTGGTCTGATTATTGTTAATCGGCACACACTTATATGGGCCGTACATTTTTTTCATATATGTGATTCGTTTTGATGGCATGACGAAACAGTTTGTCAGGAGGCTTAAAACCTGCCTCAGCTTAATCTCTTAGCCTGTCGTTAGGTTGACTGAAAGTTAGGTTAAAACAGCATTTCCAGAATGGGCTTCTAAAGCCCCTGCAGTAAACATTGGTTGACGTCACTCAGGCTTCATCCATTAATATTTACAGTCTATGGTGCATGTATTCACATTTGGCTATTGGGTTTAATCATTAAAAAAAGTGCAGTATCTCATTTGCCATCTGTAATCTTCTTAATGCTCTGCTTCAACAGCAAGTTCATGTTTTCTCCTTCTGCTTGAAGATTGACATCAGAAAGCATACAAGTATTTTTTGGTGAATACAAGGGCCACACAAAACCAAAATAATAAGAGTAATGAAAGTGAGGTGTTTTTTTTGCAACAGTGAGCTGAATGTCTCTAAAAAGACTGAGCTCAGAGGGTAACAGATTATTTTAAAACTAAAATTATAAAATCTATTATGTGTAAATTCTCCTTTAGAGTCCGACAAACAGTGTTGGCTAAAGCTGTTTCACTGGTGCTTAAATGTGCAGAGGTAGAGGTATGAGGTCATTATCCTTGTATTCAGGTCATGACACCAACTGTTAACACACAACTTTAGATCATCACTCGTCAACCTTCCTGCTGTTCTTCCTCTTACTGCAAACACTTATTGTCGGGACATCTCAGGTTCTGACAGACAAATAGCAACCTCTCTTTTTCTCTGGGCTTCATTTCATGTGAGATATCTCACCTGTCATCGCAGCAGAGCTGTCGGACGGATAATATGTTCAGTCTGAAGCATATCAACTGCCTATTAAAATGTTAATCCGTCTGTAAGGCGTTCGTGTTATTGTTTTGTAACCTTACACACTTTCAAGACTTTATCAAACCATTCATCCGCCTCTCAATATAACATGAGCATTTCTACATGATTATTTTTCACCTGGCTGAATGTGAAGCTCCCACAGGAAATTAATCTTCAGATTAGAAAATGTAACAATGATGATGAAAAATGGTGTGGAGAAATGCCGGGAGAGTAGCGTGGGCTGCTATTTGCCATCCTGTTTAAAGACTTGCCACTTGACAGTATGCTGAAGGTGTAATAGAGTGTAAAAATGAATTTTAATGTCACATTGACACAGCCATCATTTTCCCCTGTCACCGCCTGCTGGTAAATAGAGTTGTTTTTAAGCTAAATGAGTTTGAGGGCTGATTTTGTGACCTGTTCAACAGATGCAATAAATCAC